AAACTTTTGAGTTCTTAGATCCAGAAATTAGACGATACTTTTGGATGTAGAAAAGCATAAACAATGGTGATTTTAAAGGCCACCCATGCGAAATTATTAACCAATTCCTGAAATTCAGAATAAAAAATATTTACAACAGGTTTTGCCTCAGTAATAGTGTAAGTACCAACAGAGGTATTTCTCTAAAATGAGGGCTTACTTAGGGCTTCTGGTAAAGACAAACCTAACAGGACAGAAATTTTTCTATTATCTTATGGTAGATCTATGAACACTGAATGCTCGAAAGGCCTGGTAGAGAAGCTTCCTGATTCACTTCTGCTATTTTTAAGTATCTGTTGGAGTACTACGAATACTACTTTGAATGCTCACACACGCACAAGCACACTATGGAGTAAGATAGAGTCCATAAAGTGAAACTCAGTTTTAAACTATTTACTTACGTTTTCCTTTTGAAAAAAAACCAACAAGAACAACAAACCCCAACCAAACCACTTTGACAGAGCGATAGATAGGGAAAGGAAAAGGGTAAGATCAGTAGAAGGTTCTTACATATTTAATGATGAGGAAAAAAAAAAAATGTATTTAATGTGTTTTGCAGCATATTTGGTCACTATGTGACCAATATCTTAGTCTAATTATTATCTACATTTTGGGACAATCAGGATGCAACTATTTAGAGTGGTGTTCCTCTTATGAACGTCATTAATCTGACAGATGGACTGAAGGATTGCCTGTCCTTATGTGTTTAGAATAAGTTGTCATAAAGAATCTAGAATAAGCAAGTCAAAGTTGATGATCATGGTAATTCCTAAAATGTATTCTAAAATTCTATTACACAATTGCAGTAAAAACTGCACTTTTATGGATGTAAAAGCAGTATGCTCACTAGTCCATCTTCTAGTAGAACTACTGGTAATGTTTAAAACCTGCCACATTACATATAAATCAAACCCCAGAATCCTAAATGAAGTAATAGTGTTTTCTATTGATACAAGTAATCTGATGGGTGAGTGAAATTTCAAATTTCAAGATACAACTGCAGTAATCAAACCGCCACAGTTCACACTTACCTTGAAAATAAAATCAGTACAAGTATTAAAAAAAAAGAGACTGTGCTGTAATATACATGACCCTGACCACAAAGCCAAGCATGGAGTGACAGGAGACTTCCTTCCCTTGATTTACTTAAGTAAGAAACAGCAGAACTCTACTCATGGAGTTTTGCCAGGTTGTTCCTAATCTTGGACTTCCTTTCCTACACACTATCTATTGTTAATATTACAAAGTCACAGTATAGGAAACGGGCATTCTTACAAAAACTGGAACTGAAACAAAATCACCATTCATACCTTTGAGTCTATACATGGACACACTTCGTAAACAGCACTAAATTTAAAACAGGTCTAATACATTTGACATTAAATTCAAAGTATAATGTTAAGACAAAAATCTTAGTTCAGTGGGTTTTCTGTTAAATGAGAATTGTAGGCCCAGTCCAAAATTCAGATACTGATTTTATTTATATAGGTGTATATCTAAACTAACTACATAGCTGTTTAAATGAAAAGAGTTTTCCCCATATAAATCAAGGAACACCTAATTAATTAGCCAATTCAAAGGTGAAAAAGTATTTAGTACATTAAAAGCTTGCAAGAAAGCATGGCAGGGACAAGCAAAAGTACAAGAAAATAAAGCTTTTAAGAGAGTCTAAATAATGCTTCAGAGACAGGGAATTGATTAAAACTTTTATGAGAAACTTAAACAATAGCTTTTACAAAATGGACAGGGATCATACCGAATTCATTCAAAAAGATTTAAAACAAAATAAAACAAAGAACAGCCAGGAGCAAGAAAAGCATTGCTTCTTGAGGTTACTCAATGCTTAAAGGAATATAAACATTTTATAACAGCAAACAAATTACGTCATCCTAAGTTTTAAGAATTGGGTTATATTATGTTCTTTGCTAAGTGGGTTAGCAAATTAATTAGCAGATTCAAGAAACAATGTTTTACAGGGGTTGAAAACTGGAAGTTTTACTGTTTTCAGTTTAAAATTGATCACGAATTTGGAAAATATAAGGTGAAATACATTCCAAGCTAACAATTCTTATCAGAAGACAAACACTGAAAATGATTGTATAGCGAAACTTCTTTGTAGATTATAAAAAACAAACTTTCTGCCCTCTGCTGTTTAGACCAGGAAAAAATAAGCTGGAATACAAACCTGTTGAGAAGCATATAGCTGAGCCTAACTCTGCTTTTAAGAAAATAATCTGGTTTATGCTTAAACTAGTTGGATTTTTAGTTCTACTGTGCACTCGGACTCTGCACTGGCATGAAGTTTGCCTGAATTTAGCAATTTAACTTTTTTTTTTTTTTAATAGCTTGTGAATAATGCTGTGTACTCTCCATGTCTTGTTCAAGGGTTTCTATAAAGCAACTGCAAATTCGTGAGAGGAAACAAATTATATTAAATACAGCTTTCTATGTCATCTTCAGTTTTGGATAGAGCTTACATTAAACCTGAAAAATCCAGATTGAGTGAATTCTTATTTTACCACTATCCCTGGGTTACTGAAGTAGATGCTTTTTCACTCCCCACCTTCAACTGCCCTGCAAACCAGCAGCTATACAAGAACCGCCATTCTGACATCGGTAACTCAAATTGGTGTGATTACATCAACAGCAGTGTCATCTACTGTGCATTTGCGCTAATCGTTGCATTTTAGATACAATTCTGCTCTCTGTCTGCACATCAGCATTTCTGTCATTGCAGCTGCAAAGCCCATGGTAGCTGCCGTGTGTGCTATGAAGACAGGGGAAGGGGGAACCTGCAGAGCTGTAGAAAGACCTGTTCCAAAGCCCCACAAAGGCAAATCTCTCTTTCTAATAACGAAGCTAAAACCCCTAGCTGCCGAAAAGCTGCATTTCCAGGCTCAGTAATTCCCTCCCCAGAACAAACCAAAAGGTACAACTCAAAGGCAACATGCTTGGTGTAAAGGACCTTTTCTCCTTACTTTTCTTCTGCAGCCTGTTCATGGATCACTGCCAGAGTCCGAGTTTCTCTACATTTCAGCCAGCTTCAAAATTTAACCTTGACCACCCTCAGTTCAGGTCAGGTCATTTTTTGTTAAGAGGAAACAAGACCATTCAGTGTCGCAGTTTTTACTGGTACACTATTGTAATACACTTCCAAAAAACAAAATATACACGCTTTCTAGTGACATTCTGCATTCACAAAATCTGTGTTTTGAACTGTTTTACTCACGATCACTGAGGGAAACCCTCCCCTTCTCTTCTAGCACATGCTTCAGGACATGACACCCATGTAAACTGCCAGCATTTACCATGATGCCAACTAGCTCTACAGCAGCTAGTTTTCTTTTTTTAAAAAGTGTAAGAGACAAAAAGGTAAGCATGTTCAGAGTCACAGGGCAGGAGCAAGAGGAGACACAAAAAGCTTCTAGGACTTGTATCTAAAACTTCTATTTTGCTGCCATGAGTTCTAAACTATGGCTATAGCAGGGAGAGATGGAATAAAGAGAAAACACTGGCCTACATATAGGCTGTTCTTGTATTTCACCTGAAAAGGTAGGCCAATTACATAACCCCCCCCACTAATCAGAAATCCCAAACAGTAACATTTGATAACATTTAATTACCACATACTACATGTGAAGGAAATTCTATGATTTTATGAAAAAGTCAACCACAGATGGATGGTAAATCAAACACACTGCTGATTCATGTATGGGAGAAGAAGTTAAGCTTGTTCACACCACAGCCACACTATATAAAGCAATTAGAGAATAAGCAACTCCATATTCTAGAAAACTGACTTTTTTAAAGTGGTAGTGTTAGTGATTAACGCACTTCTGCCATGCAGGTTTCAGCTGAAATAGTACCTCTCAAAGGTACAAAAATTCAAAACAGTAAGAAAATGCAATGCATTTGTGAATGCAGGAACCCAGCTGATACAGATTGATGGTGTTGCTACAGAAGACAGTAAATACACAGTTATTGCCAGAATCTGTATGTTAAGGTTCTCTATTGCCTATTTGTCCTCTCCAATATACTTTAAGGGATTTATGATGCACCCTTGCTAGTGACAGTAAAACTATTTAACTGCAGTCACAAAACCTACAAAATATTGCACTAGAATACAACTGAAAAGTGACTTTTGACATAAACTTTGTTAAGACATGTTTCTTAAAAATGGAAAAGCAACATTTATGTTGCAATACTTCACTAGTCTTTCTTTAATGAACAAACTATCCAAACGGGGGAACAAAAATTGTTGCATCACAACGTGAACGTCAGATTTAGCAGAAGTTAACAATATTCTTAATCTGCCTCCCAGCCCGTGGTTTTACTTTTGTGATTTTTCCGATCACCTTTACATATAATCAGTATGCTAACTGGGTTTTCTGTGGTAACCGCTCCCTGCAGAAAGCATGCGACTGCCGCACAGGCAGAGAGCTTCATTAAAATGGGAGCGTTAGCTTGATTGTCCTTTCTTGCATTATAGAAGAAGGGTAGCAAAGCAGTGTTAACACCCAGCCTCTGAGCTGACCGAGTCCTTTGGAGGAAGAGGGCAGTAGTCCCACATGTACTCTTACACGTACATGGAGCTAGATGGAAGAAATATTCCTGTGAAGTATCATTTCTACCAATCTAGTGTTTTGTTTTTTTAATTTCAAAACAGAAGCAAAATCAAGGGGAAAAAACCCACTTGATAAATGTAAAAATAAATGTGCAGCTTCATGTAATATTAAGACAGCTCTCCTTAATGTAGGAAAGCTCTTCAAGTAGAACTATACTAAGTTAGGGGTAAAGAAATTCTCCACATAGCATGCTGAATTTCTACATCTGCAAGTAAAGCAAAACCAATTACCTATCTCCTATCAGGCAGGTGTGTAAAGTTAGCACCAGAGGACATTCAGCCTATAATTACTGGTTCAAGATGGTGGCACAGGAAAGCATTTCATCTGATCCAGATGTTTATTTTTCCTCAAAGTGTATTTGTGAACATTGTTTTTAGTTGTTTCACAAACTGCTTAGTAAGACAACAGCCACGAATCAATACTATTTCATGTTGCGCGCTATCCTCCTGCAATGGTTTGTTTTCATTTCCCCCAATGCTTGTTCCAGTTGCTGAATTAGGTGGAGGAGGGTGGAAGGGTCGGTTTGCAACACCTGGGCAATTTGATCTTCGTTCTGATTAAGATGTAGCTTCATAGTCACAGCAGGCTTAATCTGTTGTCTCAGGCTTCTGCTTGCAAGCTGCATGAGGGAGTTTAGATGAAATGGGAATAGGGAAACAAACAAACAGACAAAAGATGGTTATCAACTTCCATATTTACAATTCACAACAGGTTTGCAGGACCCACTTGGAAGACTGTTTAAAAATCCTTTTCATCCACATTAAAGATACACACAATCTATTATTTAGGTTTATCATTAGGCAACACTAATCCACCTTGATCAATGCTTTCATACTATTTCTGAAAATTAGGTGATAACTAAGAACAAATGTATTTAGTATATGCTAAAAAACACCAACGGAGCTATGAATTCAATTTTCAGAAAGCAACATCATTACATATCCTGTTCATCTCATAACTAGCTATCTTTGGCACAATAACAAAATTATGTCAGTTTTAAATACAGGAAAAACTTTTTCCTCAATTACTTTGAAAGAATATAAATTCATTGTTTAGTAGTTGTTTATGATGTTAAAAAAATGTAAAGTAAAATACAGAATACCGAAAACGTAAGAGAAGTTACCTGCACATCCAGTCTCCATTCAAGATTGTGGTAGCTGGGAAGCTTTGGTGCCAGCTCGCTGAGAATGCTTCTTATCTCCTTCCTGTTATCGAGGTATAACTGGAGCAGTAATTTGTTCAATTCATCTGAGAATCCCAGAACATGAATGGAATCTTGGAAGTCTATCTCAGAAATCTAGAAATAACAATTTAGGCCTTAATACGGAACTATGTAATAACCGTTATTTGTTGAGAAACAAGTAAAACGATAAGTAAACATTACGTATGGTGTGGTGCAGCCATTTTCCTGCAGGAATGTGCGAGGACAATTCTACAGCTAGGACAAAACAAATTATCCTGGTTTTATGTGATTTACACATGGTGATGTATTACAGCTGATTTGCATCAGCCTCAAGAGCAGTTTTAGATCTTTTTTTTTTTTAAAAAGAAAAACATTCAACATCCTCACATTTAAGCCTCCACAGAGAACAAAAAGCACCACAAAAAAGCATCTCAGCTTTGTCATGAGGAAGTACGTATTTCGATCATCAGTTTATCAACAGTATGTTAACATAATACTGATACTTGAATTATAAATACTCTGAAATGATCCGAATGTCTGCACATGTAAGCGAGCACCAGGTACAACTTTTAAGGCTCATGTTACAGTACCTCAGAGTGGCCCCAAGAAGCCGATTCCCACAGGTCAATGCCTCTGTGCTGAACTGAAGAAACTTGGTTCATCCTTGTGGAAGCAGTTATTTACTCAATAGAAAGTGTCATACCTTTACAATGCATTTGTACCATAAACACATTCTGTGATCAACTATATTCTACCGTAATACACTATAATTTATCTGTCAGTCAAGTCACCTTCCTTCAAGGGAACATTCTGCAATATTTCAATCCCTTCCCCACCTGCTCTTCAGAACAATGCCTACTTGAGTTTAAATTACGTGTCTCTCTATCCCTTTTCCATGTCTTCGTTGTTCAACTCTTCTACTATATCAACAGTAAAAAGTTTTTCCAATGGAAGGAGTTATTATCCAACTATGTATTTTTTTTAATTTTAATATCTGCTTACACTCACCCGAAATTCTGATGTCAGGAGCTGAAAAAGGTCTCAAACCTACTGTATCAGACAAACACATGGCATGCTTAACCGTGGGTTGGTACAGCACACATCCTGCACAGCAGCTGAACAACATCATCGTCACTCAAGTTTTGTTATTTAGATAGAGCTTAATCCTGAAGCATGCTTCTCTGTATGGACTACATTACCGCACGTTCCTGCTATACGCCACTAAAACGTTGTCGAGTTTTAGCTTCAGACACTCAACACAAATTCCAGTGATCCACGCAGATGCAGTGTTTCAGTAAGAGAACAGAGTAAACTTTTTTTTTTCAAATTAAAAGAATACGTGTCATCAGAATTTTGAACTAGGTTTTCCCCGTTCATCAGCATTTTCAGAGCTGTAAGTGTTCAGAAGACATCTCTTGAGCGTGTCCCTGCATTCACTACACAAAGGTATCCTTACCATAAGCTTGGAGCTTTCCGTAAGAAGGTAGGTTAGTCCTTCCACCCCACGCTGAATGGTGTCCGCACCAACGTTAAGTTTTCCTTCAAAGAAAGCACAAAGTACCTTTTACTTCCTTATGAAGCTGCCGCAGCAACGATATGCACAACTGGAAGTTTATCCACAGCTACCTTGCGAAATAGTCACCGAAAAGACAAAAAAAAAAGCAGAGGGTTGCGCACCCTTCAGGCAGCGCGTTACTCCCCCCCCCCCCCCCCAACCAACAAACCAACCGGAACCCAAGAAAAACCCAAACCCACCTCTTTCGGCCCCACGCAGAGAAAACCGCACGCTCACGTACCGCAACTGCGCCCGGCATGCGCAAGCAGGCAACGGGCCAGCCCGCAGACTCCCTCCCGGCAGAGCAGGCCTGCGGTCCCCCCCCCCGTCCCCTCCCCGGGCACCGAGCACGACCGGGCGCTGCCTGCCCGGGGTCCCGCCGGGCCCGGCTGCCCGCGGACCGCTCCCTGCCGTCAGCCCCCCTCC